ATTAACCCATCTCAAAGAGTGTGGCATTAATCATGGGCGTCTGGGGGTTGATTCTATTTATATCACTGATGATGGCTATATAGCTTTATTGGATAGCGTGTATGTGTCCGCCAAACATCGCCAGTTAGAAAAAGATATTGAAAATAGCGCTACTGTGCCGAACCAAGATGCTATTTATGCTAGTCCAGATGCGTGTTTTGGTAGGGCTATATCTGAACAAGATGATGTGTTCTCTTTAGCCTGTATTTGCTACCACTTATTGAGCGGGCAACACCCTTTTGGCGGGAGCAATAGTGTCAGTGCTTTACTGAATAAAATGCGTCCTCAACGTATTGAAAGCCTTAATGACTTGCAATGGACGAATTTAGAACAAGGTATGTCGTTGCCGAAAGAGCATCGTTTGGCAACGGTGAATGATTTTATTCGCGGTTTTGATATGCTAATAGAACCACCGAAAGCAAAGCTAAAAACATCAAATAAAAAAGAAACGGTGGAAGCGATTCGAGCCGCGCGTAATATCATTCAGGAACAAGCTAAGAATAAGGTGGTTAGGAATAAAAAGAAGTTGAGTAATCGTGGAACAAGTTCATTGTCTAATTGGAAATTACAACAGATGAATCTTCCAGATTGGGTCTGGATACCGCTAATGCTTATCATTGGTTTTCTTTCTGGAATGGTACTGATGGGTTTGGGGATAGATTTATGGGGTGTTGATGCTTCGGGGTTAGAGGATACTCTGCGAGGTTTGTTTTGAGGTGTCGTGCATTTTCTTTATAGCACTACCCTACCATGGAATGATAGTGCCATCGATATCATAAAAGTTACCACTATTTTCTAAACGAGCGGCATCGTAAAATAGCACGTAAACGCTCGACTGATTGTTGTGCAGTGATTTCCCCGCTAGAACCTCCCATGTCGGTACGTACCCAGCCAGGATGCAGAATCACGGTGGTGATTCCCGCAGACTTCAAGTCACGTGCAGCGCTAACCATTACTGCATTCAGTGCGGCTTTACTGGAGCGGTAAACGTAACTACCACCTGAGCTATTATCATCCATACTGCCCATTTTACTGCTTATGCTGGCAATCACTTTTTTCTCGCCTAAGGTGATATTTTCTGCAAAGGCTTCCATTATTTTCATGGGCGCAATGGTGTTAATGCGTAGGGTTTCAAGCCATTTGTCTTCATCGGTATTGCCAAAAGAAGCATTGTTTTGTCCATAAACGCCTGCGTTATTTATCAGCACATCTAAAGGGATGCCTTTTAATTTAGTCATTAAGGCATGGCGTTGTTCTGCGTTGGTCACATCAAACTGAGAAATGTTTAATTGCTCTGGATTATTTTGTGCTAATTGCTGTAGTTCGGTCGCTGTTTTTGGATGGCGTGCAGTAGCGTAAACCTGCCAGCCTTGAGCAAGGTATTGACGCACTAGTTCTAAGCCAATACCGCGGTTGCTGCCAGTAATTAAAATGGAGGGCATTTTGTTTCCTCTTTTTTATGAATTTTTTGATGGCTTGTATAAGTGTATGAATAAT